AAATCAGAATTAGAGTTTGCACATAAAGCTAATCACAGCACAGTCAGCCTAATGAAACTGGTTTGATAAAGTTTAATGCCTGTAGAACTGCATAGAGATTATACTATGCTCTACATATAAACACACAACAAACTGCAGACTAATCACAGTGTAAGACAAGAGATATCTGACAATGTAAGTGCTCTCCTTTATCTACATCCCTCCACCCCACACCTACTTATTTGAACCTGGCATTATTGCCCTTGATGTTTTCCATTGTTTGACCTCTGCTTTCAGACATATTTGCTGCTGTTGGGAACAAAATATTGTATCTCCGAAAATTACAGCAGAAGGAAAAAAATACTTTTAATGTAAGTCAACATAACCAATCTCTTTTCTACGTAATTTTGGGTCCACTCATCATGACATTTACACACCATGTAAAGGACAACAGGGCATTTCAAATTATATCAGAAACTGAAAAACAAAAAATCGAGATATGAGGACAGCAGCAATTTGACAGAACATTATTTGTGCTGATGTTTATCATCGTTTCTTATCTTGAAGAAGCAGTTTGTGTGTTTCTGTTTGTGACAGAATTTCCTAGAATGGGTGTTGACATGTTTATTGTGGTTTATCTGTATTTTACTTCAGCTTTGTAGGTCTGACCAGTGTCAGTTAGTGCTGAAAGGCCTTGTGCTCTGCTTGTAGAAACACAGTAATGTTCAGTTGTCCACACATAGAGCAAATTCAGCATCATACAGAAAGTTACTGTCATCATACACAACAATAATGACAGGCCAGTTAGTTAGAGCTTACATTACGACTCATTTTTACATATTCCTAGAAATATATACAAGTGGGTGTAAGGATGGTACTTCAGGATTCACTGGTGCAGGGAGTCTATATAGGCTACCTGGTCTGGAGGTCTCTCTCCAAGGGTACAAACTTGTACTTGTCTGATAAGTGGAGGGACAAGGCCAAGAGGCTACAGCCAACATACAGCACTTATTTTAGCACTTATGCAATTGTTATGTAAAATTTATAAAGTAAAACTAGAAGAATGAAGTACAATTACAATTAGAGTTTGCATATTATTATCATGATATATAATGACTCACATGTCAATATTACAATATAAAAACACAACATTATTAAAGTGAACAATGTGATGTATTTCATCATGTGGCTTGTTTGTCTGTTTTGTTTTATCTGCGATTTAACGTCTAATTTGAATGTTGGCAATAATAGTTCAGCAAAGTACCTCAGTATTGATAAATGTGGTGACAAGACAGAAAAGTGCTGTAAATCAATGTTGTGGCAAAGGTCAACAAATGATCACAGTACAGTCAATATGTGTTGAAACCAAAACAAATTCTTTTTTCTAACATCCAGGCAGGGCAGGTGCTTCGTTTCTGGTTTCTGTGTTGTTATGTACATAAAAATCATACAGTGTTAATACACATAAAAGGTAGCATTAGCTGACTGGCTAAGTGCTGCTTTTTAATGCTTTGCAAGTCTTTACTACAACTAAGTGCATGCATCGTGTTTTCACTGTAATTACACTAGATTATCATTGGTTTGCAAGATTTTATGAAAAAAGACTAAAACATCAAAAATATAAACTATGTACTTTTCCTTGAGAGCTCTCTGTAGAAATCCACTCCACAGGGCATCAGTGCTGACCTTCATGCTATGACTGCAGAACTGCATAGAGATTACACTGTAATCTACATATGAACACATATAGCATATATGTGCAATGTGTTATTTAACATAATGCAGTCTAAGACAAGAGAAGTCTAGAGTAACCTAACAAAAATGACTACTATCAAAATTATGACATTAACCTAATGGTTAACATTGTATTTAACATAATTTTTGATAAAGTTTAACATCTTCTCTGTTCTTGAACAAACAGTGTGTTTCTGTCTAAGTCAAAATTTCCTATCATGGGTGTTAACATGGTCATTGTGGTTTCTCTCTATTTTGCTTCAGCTTTGTCGGTTTGATCAGTGGAGGAGGGGCTAAAAGGCCTTGTGCTCTGCTTGTCACTTTAGTAATACAGTAAATTTCACAGGTTTTTGTTGTCATCAAAAGTAAAAAGTAAAGTAAAAACATTTGTGTCTGTCCATGTATACGGATACTCCAAAGAAAAATAAATAAAAAATAAACAAAAAAACTGCAGTACTGAGTACAGCCAGTGGGAGCATTTCAGCAGAACAAGCTCAGGAGAGTTTAGTTAATGTGTGAAAACTGATCCATGTTATGTCAAGTGGACACTACATGACTTTCAAAATCTCAGAATCGCTGTACTGATCACTGTATGACAATTAGTTCTTGTGTCCTGTTGTCAGTGTAGCAGTGTGCACACTATATAATCCCAAAAAGATCCCCAACAGAGTGCACTCAATCCCCCAAATCCTACTGAAATAAACACAAGAAGTGTCTCATATTTGCCAAATTAGAGCTTCAACAAATTATTGTGGTTGTTTCTGCACTGAAAACAAAAAAGGTAGCCTATACTTGGGTGCATGAGTGAAATTGAAATTTTCGCTTGAATTTTATTCATGACAATCCATGAAGTGACCAGACAGGCCTTAGGAGAGTTGATGTGAACTGACCTTGAAGGAGGAAGGTGAACCACATTAAAACTCTGAGCGCCATCTCACTGGTCCTACAGTCACAGAGAACCAGTAGAGGTTTGAATATTGAGGGCAAAGAGTTATTTAGAGAGTTGTGGTCTGACTTCTCTAGTTAAACAGTGGCAATGACATCTTCACCTATAGAGGAATCGAAACTCAGTGATGCAGAAAGCTCCATGACGACAGTAGGCCTCAACTGAGCTCAGTTTTTTACTTAGATTTAATCTCAATTACAAATAGATTGTATAGAAATAACAACAGAAGACAAACTGAAAAGCAAACTATAAATGATCTGAGCAATCAAAATAGGCACACAACCCACACAGCTGCACTCACACCATCACACCATGCAGTAAATCACACATATGCGCCTTCCAGCTTGAGTCCAGAGCAGCACAGAGGGGGATAAATCTGACGTCAGGCCTCTCACTACCTCAAAGAGTAGAACTGATGATCTGTTTGCACTTAAACCCCATTAACTCAACATAGCAAACCATGTTTATTGACTGCTTGCATGCTAATCAGTAGCATCTTTAACCCAGTCATCACATATAGAAACACATGAAGCTCTCTCTGCACTTCCTTTTTCAAATTAAGTAGCATTTTTGGATGCAACACAGTTTCAGGACTCAGATGATTCTGTTTGAAAGTACTGAACATGAAGATTCCCTCAAATGACTGATAATTAATGTAAAGTATCTGGATCAGTGCAGATTATGGATCAATGACATCTTACACCATGTGATGACCCTCTAATGTGTTCTTTCATTGGCCAGTTTCTCTCAGATACTGTATGAGTCTGGAAAGTCTTTTTAAAAGAACAGTTTAATTCCATTGAAACTGTAAACAAAATCATTTAATCTGGTAAAATCACTCAAAGTGGTAAAAGCTCGGTGCTGTGAAAAAGTAACTGTAAAAGTAAAACTAAAAGTTTTACCTGATTTCTTTTATTTTTGGCACATTTGTTACAGAATTGTTTCAGCTCTTCAATCAAAATTTAGTAGACAAAGACATGGACAACCTAAGTAAACATAAAATATGTTTTTTTTTTGTTTTGTCTTTTCATTTTTAAAATGATCATTTCACTTACTAAAGGCAAAAAGTTATTCAATGCCAACTGGCCCTGTGTGAAAAAGTATTTGCCTCTCTTTAGTTACTAAATTAACCAATTAAGCAAATGTAGTTGATCATTTGGATCAATTCAATAAGACTCATCCAGGCTTCATTACTGACACCACTGTTGAATCTAAACATCATTTAAACAGAACCTTTCTAGCTCTGTAAAGTAGGCTAAAAGATCTCAAAAAGCAGCACACTGTGCCACAATGAAAAGAAATTCCAGAATAAAGAAGAGTTATTAAAATGTGTAAGTCTTGACAGCCATTTCTAAAGCTCTGGGACTCCAGCGAACCACAGTGCAAGCTATTTTCTCCAAATGGAGAAAACTTGGAACAGTGATGACTTTTCCCAGAAGTGAAAGGCTTACCGACATTCTTCCAAGAGCACAGCAGCAACTCGTCCAGGAAATCACAAAAGAACCCAGATGAACATCTAAGAAATTGCAGATGATTCTCATCTCAGAGAAGGTTTCCAAGGGTCCCATAGCATCTGGTGTAAAGCTATCACAGTGTTCTACTAATAACAACATACCAACAGTAAAACATGGTGGTGGTAGTATGATGGTGTAGGGATGCTTCACTGCTACAAGACCTGGACAACTTGCTATAATTGATGGAACCATGAATTCTTTTCTCTACTACAGAACCACATCCAGTCTTCAGTCTGTGATCTGAAGCTCAAGTGTAAATGGGTTATGCAACAAAATAAAGACCCAATGCACAAGGGCAGGTCCACCTCTGAATGAATTAATGTTTTGGAGGGGCCTAGTCACAGTCCTGACTTGAACTCTTAAGGACCTTAAAAGGGCAGTTCTTGTTTAAGAACCCTCCAATATGACTAAATTAAAGCAATTCTACAAAGAAGGGTAGAAGTTATTAAGTTTAGGAGACAATTGCACAACATTAATGTAGGTGTTACAAAACTTATTTGCTTCAATAAAGAAAATGATTTTTTATGAGGATCTGAAACCATGTAGTGACAAATCCACAAAAATAGAGAAAAATTATGAGGGGAGCAAATACTTATACACTGCACTGTAGCTTGAAAGGTCAGAATAATATTTGAAAACAATGTTTTAAAGGATGTAAATACTAATCCTTTGATGATTTATGCAGATGTTGGCACTCAGGAGTTCTTCCTTTGAGTTTTCCTGAAATGTATAGTTTTCCGTCTCTCTCTCTGAGACGTGTGCTTTGAGTGTAAGAACACAGGAAGTGTTGATCGTTGAACGCACTGCTCAGTCAGTCAGTCAGTCATTACGGGGACAGTATGGAGTTCAGGTCACTCTCTGTAATACTCTGTGAGTAAATGTTCTCTTTATGTCTTCATTAGAGTGAGAGCTGCTGTATGAAGGTGTTAATATTCAGTCTGAGGGTTCTGAGATGATCAGCTTCTGTGTGATTCAGTAACTGTATGTAGTTCAGATAGTTTATAAGCTTTTCTGTCATGAAATCAGAGAGTGGAGAGTTTCAGTTGGAGGTCCTTTGACAAAACATGTAATTTTTTGTCCTTAAGTCATAATTACATTTCATGTAAATTAACATTTAATTAAAATAGACAGTTCACATAGAGATTTCTTAACTAACCAGAGCAAATAATACGTTAGTAACATTTATTCAGAACTCATAAATGTCCTCACACTCCTACACCATCTGCAATATGTTCCTAATTGTTTTTATTGTGTGTGATGGTTACAGTAAGGATTTAAAGCAGCTTTTATAAAGTGTTACTGTGGCATCCAGTATAATCTGTAATGATACATTATGATGGATCATTTGGAGATTTGGATTTGAATATTGATTAATGATCGTGATGTCTTCAGGTCTTCAAGTCTGTGTCCATCTCGTTACAGTGTGATTATTTAAAAGACTTTTATCCCAGAAGAAATATTAGCAGGTCATTGTGTTTCTTTCTTGGTGGGAAGTCAATTATGTTGTGAAAGAAGAGTGTTTATCCCTCATGCTGGTAAAGCACAATGTGTCCAACCTGTAACATCATAATTCAGTAGATCTTACTGTAATTTCATACTTCCATACATACAAACTAGATTTCTAAAATAAGGATAAAAATAAACATTTTTACCTTGTTTAAAATGGTTTTGAAATAATTCTGTGCATGTCTATAACAGAGTGGACATATTTCATTGTCACTCGTTTAAAAAGTGCACCTGAGCTAAATAAATGCATTTTCTTCTTTTTTAATATCTAATGTTCACAGTAAAACATCAAATAATTCAAATTACTTATAATTTGTTTAGTTGCTGTTTGTCACAGTTTGGTAATAATGACATATGTAGTAAGACATTTTGAAAAATCTTCATTCAGTAGTTAAATCTGAAATATTCTGTATCTGGAGTTCTACTGTTCACTGTTGTCAGATCAGAAATTATGTATTTTATCTGCTCTTGTGCTGGATGTGAAAGCTGGTTTGTGATTTTAGCTGTTGAATGATGATGATCTGATCTGTGTATGATCTGTATGTTCTTTAACTCTCAGTCTTTTGCAGTGTTTTATACAGTCTAATCATGTGTTAGTGACAGTGTCAGTGGTGGTGGTCAGTGCTGTTGTAGACTGTGAGACTCTGCAGTGTTTGGTGGTGGTCAGTGCTCTGTGATAAACACACTGATGTGCTGAATTTACTTTATTCCAGATTAATGAAATATAAGGTGAATGTTGCTGCAGTGGGACACTTTCAGAAACATTACTTTCTCCAGCTCAGCAAACCTTTATAAAAAGCTCAACATCTTCTTTACAGAAACAATACAAAGGAAATACAAACACAGACAGAATGATCTTCTTAGAACCTCTGTTGACCAAACTCTGGATGTTTCATGTGATTCTGGTCAAAATAGGAGTCAAAATTTACAGTATTGTTAAAATTTACAGTCAGAGTGGGACACTTCATTTCTTTAGCCCAGTGGTCCTCAAACTGGTCATCAGGGGCTCCAGATGGTCCACAGTTTTGCTCCAACACAAGGATAGTGGAACAATATATATTTTTCTGCCCTTTAATCTACTCATGGCTGTTCATGGGTCATTCTGTCATTGTGGGGGCAAATGGCCATAAAACTGAGCTCTGTGTGTTCTTTGTTCTCGGCCTAAATTGAGCAAAAACAAATGATAAAGGTCCGTGTAGCTTCATTTGATTTTCATTTCAAAATCCGGTATTGAAAAACGGCAAATGGGTCAATTCTCGTTTTGATTCTGTTATTGTCAGTCGAGAAACAAGAAACAGCTTCTCTTTTCAGTTTCACAGACTAATCATAAAATCAAATAACAAACAAACAGCAGTGGAATAAAGAGCTGATTTAACTGATTTAAATTAACCAACAATAAACTGCAGAGTTCACCCATCGGTCGCAGGAGCTCAGAAATCAGGCTGTCGCGGTTAAAAAATGATGAGGACAGGAAAGATCGAGCATTAGTGTTGAGAAGGTCAGTCTAGATCTGGCACTGTGGGAGGCTGTATAACGTTTTATATGTGTTTGTTGACTTTTTTCTTTTAGCATAAAAACTGCGCCGACACGCAACACGACTCCCGCCCTGTGCGCTGTGCTGAGATCATGTCGGTTCATAGTGATCTTATAATCATGTGGGGGCGGCGCTGCCTCCGGTTTATGGGGGAAATGAGCTTTAGAGGGGCATTAGAGCTGCGCCGGGGGTCTCTGTGCTCAGGACTCTGTGTTCACTGCGCTTTACGATGGTCTGAATCAAACGAGGCAATTAAACATTTTTCAGGGGTGATAACCTGGGTGTGTTCAGTTAGTTGGGTTAAGTGCACGAAGCACGAAGCCCCCGTCAAATGGTGGGAGTTCAGTTTCTTCCCCATATCATTTCTTTCTCATATAGTTTGTACAGATCAAACATACAAACGACTGTACAAAAAGTAATATAGCCGATCAATAAACCAGAACCACAGACCTGATTTCTGTGGTTTCTGAGCTTCACACCTGCGCTCTGCACCTTTATTTCCGCTGATGATGGGAAATCATTAGAAAACGACCCTTTATTCCACTGCTGTTTGTTTGTTATTTGATTTTATTAGATTGTGAAATTCTGGTTTTTAAAATGAAAGTCAAGTGAACAGAAGGTTCCCGGACCCTATAATGACTTTTCTTTTTAAATTTTTATTTTTGAGATGTTTTTGTTTTCCTCACACAGTAACTCCTCTGGTGACACATTTAAACTAGTAGCCTCGTCAAATTCTCAGAATAGATCACCAGCGAGACGCTCGCTTTAAGGTTAAAGAACATTTTTAAATTATTTATTTTATTTGTAATATGCATAAAAAATAGTTTATTTATGGCTGATATCTGAGTGTCTGTGGGGAAAAAATCTCAAACCAAATCTGTCCAGCTAGCAAACACGAACTTCTGGATCTCCTTTTAACAAGCATGAAAATCCATATTTTCCAGTACTTAATACTGGTTACTGTAATCATTACTGTTGACGTGAATAAATATTGGATTTGTTGATTTATTTGAAAGCATGTAATCACATAGAAGTCTCCCAAATCATGGCCTTCCCTGAGTCTTGTTCCACATCGACGACCTGGACCAGTGTCCAGCACAGTTTTGTGATTAACCTACACAAATACACCTGATTACCCAGTTTGCATGGTGTGTTCAAGTAGAGAAAACTCTAAACTGTGCTGAACACCAGCCAGGACTGAAGTTGTGCAGCCCTGCTCTACGCTGATGCCACAAAACTCTCTCTCATTTTGCTAATCTGACAATGGTAAAGTGGCACAAAAGACAAACTGAATATAAGGAAACATTACAAATGTTTTTCTAAATTTTCTGCTACACTTTTATATCCCAGTGCTGTATGTAATTACGAAAAAGATGCAGATCCACAATCAGACAAAACAAAGAGAGTAGTAGGGATCAAAACCAGTGAAAACCAAACACAAGGAAAAGGCTCAGAACTCAGGTGTAGAACACAGAGACTGCACACACACACAGTGGAAACACAGGGGCATATACAGCAGTCTTAATGCACTTAGAATGAGCTGCAGGTGTGTGGGAGAAGAGAGGAGAGTAGGCAGAGCCAGGCAGAGTCCAAGTCAGTCTGCTCAGAGGAGAGGAGACATGACAGAACCGTGCCTCTAAAAGTGTGGCTCCCGAAGTGCAGAGATGGTGGGTCTGGACCATAAGGAGGCACAGTCCTAGCCAGCAGAAATTCCAGAGGGGCGGACAATCCATTAACTGGGTCGGAGGGGACAGGGACAGGACCAGCACTGTCGACCGGCTGAGTCAGTCACTGGGAAACAAGCTCTGGAGGATTTATCCTAAAAGCCAGCACTGGACCAGCTCGGGAAGTCAGCACTGCAACACAATGAGGAGCCGCCACAGGAGCTACAGGCCAAAAAGCTGACAATGGAGTGGTTTGGAAACTGGCACCAGATCAGGAGCTGCACGTGGAGCCAGCACTGGATCAGGATCGGGAGCTGGTACAGGAATGGGACAAAGAGCAGACGAAGCCAGCACTGGAATATGATGGGGAGCCAGCCCAGGAGACCACGACAGCGAAAAAAGAGCCGCTCGAGGTGTAGGAACAGGACCATAAGTCGCCTGAGGCGCAGGAACAGGAGCCACATAGACTAGTGTGTTAGAAGACACGGAGACCAAAGACAAGTCAGGAGACACTGAGACCATGGGCAGGTTAGGGAACTCTGAGGCCGGGTGGTCAAGCAGCTCGGAGGTTGTACCGAAATCCTCGGGTGCAGGCTGGGCCGCTCTGCAGGGACCTGCTGCAATGTCCAGGGAGCCAAGTGGGCCTGCTGTGATGTCCATGGAGCCAGGTGGGCTGCCACAACATCCACAGAGCCAGGCAGGCCTGCTACCATGTTCACAGAGCCAGGCGAGCCTGCGATGACAGACTCCCTAGTGATCTCCAGAGCAATAGGCAGCACTTTCAGACCTTCTTCTGCCACAGAGGACCCCGCATCCACTGTGTTCCCATCACCCCACCTGGCAACACTGGCGAGATATCCTTTCAGCCCCCCATACCACCTCTGCAACTCCGCAAAGTAAGCCAAAAAGCAAAGGCACATGCTTTTTTGCACTCTCTGTAATAATCCGTGAGTAAATGTTCTCTTTATATCTTCATTACAGTGAGTGCTGCTGTATGAAGTTGTCACTGTTCTTCTGTGTGTTTTGGTTACTGTATGTACAGTTCCCTCCACAAATACTGGCATCCCTGGTAATCATGAGCAAAATGAACTGTAAAAAACATTCTTAATTACTTTTTTATGATTTATTCAAAATATTAGCAAAAATCTTACCTTTATTTAAGATCTAATTATTCAAAGAAAAAAATCAATCGAATCATGAAACAAAAATTCTTAAATCTATGTGTGGCACAATTATTGGCACCCCTAGAAATCTAAATGAAGTCTATTCTCATTCATACTTTGTTTAAAGTGCACCTGTTTGAGAAGGAACACTTAAATGGTCAGCCGTTACTTCCTGTTTTACTGGGGATTATATATGAGATGAAACACAGTCCAGATGCCCTCAGTCATCCATCACTATGAGAAAGAGAATCCAGCAATAATGTGCAACAAAAGGTTGTTGAGCTTCACAAATCAGGAAATGGCTACAAAGAATTAGCTTAACAGTTGTTGCCCATTTTCACTATCAGGGAAATGATTAAGAAGAAGAAGAATAAAGAAAACAACTGGAGATGTTAAGAATCTGTCGGGAAGAGGACGTATGGCTATACTGGCACCACACAAAGTGAGGAGAATGGATTACATGGACGAAGAATCTCCAGGGATCACTAAGGGGAATTGCAGATATCATTTAAAACAGCCCTCTCTCTCTTTGCACTTGAAATCTGCAGATTTTAGATTTTAGTTAGTTCGTGTCTCTTTTGTTCGTTGCGTCTTTGTTCAGTTTGTTTTTGTTTTTTACTCACACAGCAATCTGGGAGAAGTGCTGTTAATTAAATGTTGTTAACTGTGCCAACATTTGAGGAGGGCACTGTAGGTCTGGAGGATGTGCGTAGACACCGGCATTAAGGGGGTGTTTCTGAAAATGATTTAATGTTTAACTAAATGATTTAACTAAAATAAAAAATGTAATGTTTAACTAAATGATTTAACTAAAATAATAGCAGCTGTGTGAATTAAATCACACTGTGTGTTCACTGAGAACAGTGTACAGCAGTGCTGCATCTGCATCTGTGGGGTGTGAGTGATACGGAACATGTTGTTTTTTATTTTGGTGCTTACAGTTGTATGCAAATCTCTACACATCCTCTACAGAAACACACTTAAATATGTGTTAAAAAAAGGGCAAAAAATATAAAATGTGCCATAACTTTTGCACAGGACACATTTTGTTTTATTTTTCATTTCAATGTGTTAAATTTAGCACATAAACATTAATTTTGCATTAAAATGTGCAGAAATGTGTTCTCTGTTGAGGATGCATTAACCTATTTTCACATGTCATTCAACCAGGGGTGCACAGACTTTTGTATCCAGTTGTATGATGTTAATAAATCAGAACTTTTGCACACGTCCCAGACACAGCGCAGCACTTAGAGAACAGACACTTCACTGAAATTCAATAAAAATGAACAATAACATTAAAAATGTAATTTTTTTTGTTCATAACTGGTAAACAAATGCATCATCATCTTTTACAATTTATATTTTTATTGAGAAAAGTCACTGATCTGACTATTTATCCACTAAACAGGATGTTTGTGAGCTTGTTTGCTGCACCGCTGTACAGCACAAACTCTGTCTGTAGGAATGACCACTGTGTGTGTGCTGACCCCACTACCTTTAAACTCCATCAACATTATGAAATTACTGTGTTTCTAAGCTGTAATACATCCGTATTTGGAGTGCTGGTTTGTCAAAGAAGGTCTGCCACTTAAAGCTGACCGTTCAGTGACACGACTATTATCATCATTCAATAATTCAGCTTATAGATAAAGTAGAATCCACGCTTCGTTCAGAATTAATAAGCCAAACTACGTTTAGGATAGTATTGTTCAACTTATGATTTTATTTACAAACCATTAATATATATGACAATAATCTCACTGTACCTGCAGATGTACTTTTTCACATAGTTTTAGGTTGGAATAGCTGTATTGCTGTGCTGCCCTTTCAGAATGATTAAATCTACCTGTGATAACAGCTAATAATTCACATTAAAGCATCATATCCTCTGTTTCTGTCTCTACTTTAGTGCTGACTGTCCTCATCCACAGTGGACAAACAGGTAAATCTTTGACATTTATATGTGAATTATTTAATTTACATTCATAAACACTTGATTTTACATTTTAAACCTTTTATTTTATAGATTACTATAAAAAAGTGGCTCAAATCAGTGAAAAAGTGTTAACATGTTTGTTGCAGGTTTGTAATAGTAAATTAAGCTGATCATGTTGATGTATAGTAGAACAGTGTAGATCAAATGTGTCCTTCCTTTAAGGATAAATATTTGCTGTTGGGTTTTCACACATCAGCCAGTGGTAAAAATTAAAGAGCCTCTTGACCAGAAAGAAATATTCATAGGATAGACTGTCACTCTACAATGTGAAATAGAGGGAGGAGAAAGTGCTGTGCACTTTGTCCTTTGAAGGGAAAAGTGAATACAGGTTTATAGTGACAGCAAATGACAGATTTACCTGTGTAACACAGACCCAAAGATTCCCATACAGCACAAAAACCAGTGAACCTATTAAACTGTCTGTGTCTGGTGAGTTTGTTGATCTTCATCTCATTACAGAATATTCAACATCACTGATTCTGTGGATCAGTTTTACAGATACAGAATTAATGGAGTTTCAAAACAGGATCTCTACTGATCATGTAATTTATTCTTAGACTGTGAGAGTCTTTTCATTTATTACAGTCTTTCTATAACATTTCTTTAAAACCCACAGGAGTGAAGGAGGCTCTACATCCCAGCTAGAAGGGAACATTCCCATAACTTTGGCTAATGTTACTTATAAATTCTAATAATGTTTAAAGAAAACCTTTTAATCTAATGTTCAAAGAATATTTTAAGGATGTTAACCATTTCAAATAATATTCCTATAAGTTTACATGTAAACTAAGATGTAACGTTTTAACTGCAACATTCGGAGGATGTTTCTTGTTTCCTGTTTGCAGCAGATATGCATGTTTGTTCCAACCTGTAAAAAGATGATACAATTTAGAATAAAAGACACAACAAACATGACAAAAGCTTTGTTTTATCTAAAGTGATGTACTGTAGACTGAGAGAAAAGTGGTGATATACAGTCCAGTTATCTAAAATTAGCTATGTTAGCTATGTTAGCAGTGTAACTTTAGCCACATTATTTACAAATACAACACAGATTCAGTTAAGGTTTACTTTAAAATGACCTAATATTCAGCTAAAATAATGGTAAATATCAGATAAAGAGCTACAGCTACCAGAGACAGTGGAAACAAACATTGTAGCTAGCATGCTAACATTAGCTACGTTAATCTGATCAGTCTCACATCAGAAATAAAAAAAAAGTTTATAATAAAGAGTTCTCTTCAAATAAAATGTCTACTGTGGTTTTACTGAAAAATAGAAGTTTATATCTATAAAAGTCTATATACTATGGAAGTTTACTTACTGATTCCTGTTAGAGGCTCTGCTGTGCTGCTGTCTGATGAACTGTTTAACCAACTCTGCTTTAACCAGCACTGTTATGATTTGAAAATGAGCCCTTTGGCTGTTTTCTTAGTTACTGTGTAATAATTTTAAAGGATAAAATTGTAAATTAACTAAATAAATAAATTCAACTCCATGTCCAAAAAAGTTTGGGCGCTGTGCAAAATGTAAATAAAAACAAAATGCAATGATGTGCAAATCATTTAAAAACTATATTTAATTGAAAACAGTAAAAAAGACAACATATCCAATGTTGAAACTGACAAATGTTATTGTTTTTTGAGAAATATATATAAAGTTGACAACAGGTCAGTAACACGATTGGGTATAAAAGAGCATCCCAGAGAGGCTGAGTCTTTCAGAAGTAAAATGTGGAGGGGTTCACCACTCTGTGAAAGACTGCACAAGCAAATAGTGGAACGATTCAAGAATAACATTTTTCAACATAAAATAGCAAAGAACTTTTGTTTTTCAACCTCTATGGTACAGAATGTTATTAAATGACTCAGAGAATCTGGAGAAATCTCTGTATGTAAGGGACAAGGCCAAAAACCAGTATTTGCTGGCTGTGATCTTTGGGCCCTCAGGCGGCACTGCATTAAAAACAGACATGATTCTGTAGTGGAAATCACTGCATGGGCTCAGAAACACTTCTGACCAACACTGTCTGTGAAAACAGCTTGTCGCTGCATCCACAAATGCAAGTTAAAACACTAAAACGCAAAGAAGAAATTGTACATTAACAGGATCCAGAAATGCTGCCACCTCCCCTGGGCCTGAGCTCATTTACAATGAATTCTTTTTGGAAAACATGGACACTGTGTCCTCTGGAATATAGACCACTCAGCTTGTTATCAGTGCACAGTTCAAAAGCCAGTATGGTTTGTAATGGTATAGGGGTGCATTAACACACATGGCATGTGTGACATGCACATCTATGAAGGCACTATTAATGCTGATATACATATATACATGTTTTTGGCACCATATGCTGCCATCCAGACAATGACTTTCTCAGGGAAGGCCTTGATATTTTCAGCAAGACAATGTCAAACCACATTCTGCACATATTACAACAGCATTGCTCCGTATTAAAAGAGTGCGGGTGCTTAACTGACCTGCCTGCAGTCCAGAACAGTCACCCACTAAAAACATTTCGCACATTATGACAAATGAAAAATACGACAAAGAAGACCCTGAAGACAACTGTTGAGCAGCTGAAATCCTATACCAAACAAGAATGGAAACCATTTCACTTTCAAAACTACATCAGTTCCCATACGCTTACAGAGTGTTGTTAAAGGAAGAGGTGATGAAACACAGAGGTAAACATGCCCCCACCCCAACTTTTTTGGAATGTGTTGTTGGCATCAAATTCAAAATGTGCACATATTTTTTAAAAAAACAATACAATTTCTTAGTTTCAACATTTGATATGTTGTCTTTGTACTATTTTCCTTTAAAAATATGGTTTACATGATTTGCACATCATCGCATTCTATTTTTATTTACATTTTGCACAACATCCTAACTTTTTTGGAAATGGGGTTGTATTAGTAACACTATGAATCATGTGTGGCAAAATATGCCAAATTGCAATGAAATCAGTAGAGAATAGACAAGTGGATTATTTATTAATGAATTAATGAAATGAAATTAATGAAAAACCACGTGATTAAAGTATTAAATGTTTATAAGTAGACCTACAGTAAGATGTGTGTTCATTCAGCAATTAATCAAAGGCAGCTGCCCTGTAAATGTTACATAAAGAAATGCATGGAGGATCCTTTGTAAAAAAAAATAGAAAAAGAAAAAAAAACACTATATAGCTCACATAAAACTTTACTAGGAAACAAGTAAATAACAAGTGAACAAATAACATGTTACACAAACATGAAATACACAATCAAACATCAACCAGTCAAACTAGCTGTTAGATCCCATCACCTCTCCACAGCTGTCTGACACAGTGAAGTGTAAATCAGCTCTTTCTCTGTTCACCTTACACAGCAGCTGGTTTCTGATGGAGCACAGACACAGACAGACCTGACAGCAGAATCTCTAACAGCAGCTCTGTAGAGGAAATAAGCAATTTAATTAGTTTATTACTTTAACCTCAAATTAAAGTTGAAAGATCTTTAACAGTCAGTGTGAACTATATATACACACAAAGGGCAGCTTGAATCAAATGGTGTATTTATTGACTAAATATCAAATGAAGATTGACAATACATTCAATTATAAAGTTTGGTTACACTACTGATTCACCTGATATCAGAGGAGTACTGAGAACTATTTTAAAAAGACGCCATGTGAGGACAGACTGGTAGCTCAGGTTTCCTGTTGTGAACAAATTCATAGAGAAGCACTTTGTGGTCATTAAGCTCCCTTAAACTTTACTGAAATACAGTCAGAAGAAACAGCTGTGTCCTGGAGAAGCACATTTTAATTATTTCATTGGTCGATGTTCAAGTAAGAGGCTGCGATGCGATTATAAAACGATTATTGATGCATCTCGATGCAGCTTTTTTTCTATACAGGATTTCTATTTTCTCACTGTGTGAAGACTCGGTAGTTTTAAAGCAAAGTATTTGTAATGATCCATAATGCATTTACTTCCAGTATCTTTTATTAATAAATCAAATGGAAGTGATCTAGAAGACTCATTCGCTGCTCTTGTTTGAGACGCTGCTGCCACTCATCTGCGATAAAATGCGCTGTTAGGCTGAAATAAGATCCTGTGGATGTCCACGCAGCATGTGACAGCCGCCCTACCCATTTATAACTTCGGTTTTGGTCTCGTTGTAGAGAGGGGGTCACTGTGTCAGTAAAATATTTTTGAGACTGGACGCTGAATCTTGGCTCCAAAGTGTGCAGCACAGCGCGAAAGCCCTGATTCTCAATGACTGAGAAATGGCGTGCAGACTGCAGGTCACATAGCAGCGAAGTCTCGCCTCGCTAGCAGCGAACGAAAAGGCAAAGAGAGAGAGGGGTAAGATCAAAAAAAGTTTAAAGTGAGTTTCTGACTCCAAGTTCCACATAATTCATTAATCATTGAAATAAATGTAAAAAATTAATATTTCTAGCATCACTTATACAATTTCAGCCATCAAAAACCTAAAAAAAATGCTAATTTTGTACTACTAAGGTAAGCCAGGGGGGCAACATGAAATAAATAAAATTGGCTAACATTGGCATGTTTCACCAGTTTTTACCAGCAGGGGGGAGCAGAATTTCATGGTGAGTTCAGACCCAACACACCTGACTCTCCTGGCTCTGTTATTCAGATGCCCCTGCAGGCCTTCATTACCTGTATCAGGTGTGATAGACTAAGATTAGAGCTAAACTCTGCAGGGTGATGAATCTCCAGGACCAAGACTGAGCACCCCAATACAATTATATGTTTCTTCTGAAATGAAGGGTATTAACAGGACGTTTTTCCCCTTTGCAACAGCAGCCTCTACTCTTTTGTAAAGGCTTTACACTAGATGTTGGAACATTGCTGTGAGGATGTGATTGCATTCAGCATTCACAAGAGCATTAGTGAGGCCAGGTGCTGATGTTGAATGATTAGTTCTGGATCACTCCAACTCATCCCAAAGGTATTGGATGGAGCTCCATCACTCCAGAGAACAGAATTCCACTTTTCCACAGCTCAATGGTGGGGGATTTTATACCCCTCTAGCTGATGCTTGGCTTTGGGAATGGTGACCTTAGGCTCACGTGTTGCTGCTACAGAGTGTTCAATTCTAGTGACAATGCTTTTCTCTGGAGATTGTAGAAGCTTTGTGTGCATAATTGTAAATAGACCCCTTTGTCAGCAATGGGTGCACCTTAAATTAGCTGAATTCACTGAAGGGAGTGTATAAACCTTTGGACACACTGTCTGTTTGTGTGTCTCTTCTGGTGATTTAAAGGTGAATGGGGGAATTTCTTCTCATATTCCAAAGATGTGGAACGTAAAGCTTTAGTTAACCTAATGAAAATAAAAATAGAATATTTTACAGCAGTGTAAACTGTCTGACTTATCGAGGAATAAACAAAAATCTTTACATTATAATCTACACTTATACTTACCTCAAGAATCCTTTGAGTTGGACGAGGAAGTGTGTTTAACAAAGAGACACGCTGGACATGGACATCTAGCTTAGCCGGACATGGACATCTAGCTTAGCTTAGCTTAGCTTAGCTTAGCCTCCCGCAGTCTGTGATCAGGCCTCTTGATACTGCAGTCACACCCTGATCAACCCTTACTAGCAGGCTTAGCTCAGAGTTCAGCAACCGAAAGAAGAGCTATTTTGTCCTTTCAATAAAAATGGCAACACTTTGGGAGCCACAACATTGTATGTCCATTTTACCACCTTGGCTGTAAATATGTCTCAGTATGTGCTGATGTACGAGTTCAGGCTAAAAATATAAACACAAACACAGACTTACTCTGCTCTGCTTAACCTTTAGCTCAGCTGTAGCCGCTTTTCTCGCATTTCAGTAAACTTCACAGGAAACTCAGGAAACCGCAGGTTTCTTGTAAAATGTCTCTCAATGTTCGACTTTTTACGAGGCTGAAGTCGCTGCTCATTCTCCTGCTTCTCATTCGAATTGTCCAGTTCCACCTTAAATGGTGCCTGAAGTGCCAGATTGTACTGATGCACCATTTAAGGTGGAAGAGGAGAATTCCAACGAGAAGCTGGAGAATGAGAAGTGACTTCAGTTTCACGAGTTGTTGCAGATTAAACGTATCAGTAAAACCGGCTGAGTGATTATAAATACAGATTAGTCCATTCATCTCCAAATTATTGATGTTCATCTTAAATCTCTCTCTTTACCTCTTCTCGTTGTCTACGTTGCTATGTGACCAGCAGTCTGTGCGTCAGTCTTCAGCGTTAAAAGGTGAATTAGCAGTTATGCATTAACTCCAGCGTTTAAGACCATCTATTGTGAAAACTGTGTTAGAACTGTGTGTTATAATGATTTACAGCAAAGGAGGATCATGATATTTTACCTAAAAATCTAGTTCTGGTGTTTGATTGTTGGTTACACTTAAACTTAGTTTTTGGTGATTTTTTCTGTATTTGCAGCTTTTAAATTGTATGTTTCTGTCTGACACATGATAAATGCAGTGTCTGTTCACACTGTCAGTTGGGATTGTTTGGTGTTTCAGGTGAAGACTCACAAACATTCTGACAGTCGCGCTTTAAAAGTAGCTAAAAAGTAGCCACTACATGTTAGTTAAATTGTAGCTGCTACTAATTTTGGGAAAGTAGCTACAAAGTAGCTAACTACTGATTTTTCAGTAGCTAAACCAACCCTGTCTGTGACCCACTAGTAGCGAGCTAAGCTGATAGCTTATGGCTAGCAGGTTGGGTACATGGCTAACTCAACAGTCATGAGCTAACCTGCTAACCGCTAGCTAATGAGCTGGCTGTAACACACCCCGCTAGTCATGAGCTAATATGTTAGCCACAAGCTAACACACTGACATTGCTGTCAGAACAAAACCTTTTTGGCCATTTTGGTCGTTTTTGATGGTTTGAAAATAATATCTCTTCACATTGTGTCAAAATGTCATGATAAACAGACAGAAATGGTCCAAAAATGACGTAACAAAAAAAGAAAAGAAGACTCTGATGAATTACAGCACATAAGATGACTGAATTTCTCACAATTTTCACACAATTTTCTAAATTATGTGTCGTTTTACAGAGAGACCAAAAGCTACAGTGACAATACATCCAGCTAATCATGTGTTCATCGGAGAGACAGTCACTCTCACATGTGATATAGGAAGTGGAGGTCGCTGGAATTATCAGTGGTATAAAGAAAAGAACTTTCTCAGTGATACTCAAAGGAGGAATAAATACACTATTCCTAATGTTGATCAGACTCATAGAGGAGATTATACCTGTAATGGAGAACAGTCAACAGACCCGCTTTACTCACAGACCAGTGATCCTGTTAGACTGACTGTATCAGGTGAGTAACATCTCAGTCACAATTTGTTACCACTCTGAAATACTGATTTATTCAGAAGACGGTAAGTTAATCTGATCTTGTGTATAACTCTCAGTATTTTACACACCAAACACAGTTTTTTAGACGGCGAAAATGCGACATTATTTTATTCACTTTTGCAAACTTTCACTGGCGACAAAACCACACTGACCAAACACGGCTGCCTCTGTTTTTGAATGACCATGTCCTTTTTCAGCTAAAAGGACGTTTTCCCATAAAAAACTGTTAGACTGTAGTGAGACCTGACAGAGCAGTAAAGCTCAGAAACATATTTAAATCATCCTGAATTACAGTATAAACAAAGATGCAAGATAAGAACCAAGACAAGCAGCAGGTCAGACCATCACTGACAGTTGTTTGACTGAAAAAATCGTGAACACATTGAAATTCACTCATTAACCCGGTATAGTTTCACAGGAAAAAAGAGCAGTGCAGCAGTGATGCTCTAAAGCAGTGGTCACCAACCCTGGTCCTGTCCAGTCTAGTTCTGACCACAGTCTGACACACCTGCTCCAGCTAGAAGAAACAGCTGTGTCCTGGAGAAGTGCATTTTAATCATTCCATTGGTCGATGTTCAAGTGAGAGGCTGCGATGCGATTATAAAACGATTATCGATGCATCTCGAGGCATCTTTTTTTCTATACAGGATTTCTATTTTCTCACTGTGTGAAGACTTGGCAGTTTTAAAGCAAAGTATTTGTAATGATCCATAATGCATTTACTTCCAGTATCTTTTATTAATAAATCAAATGGAAGTGATCTAGAAGACTCATTCGCTGCTCTTGTTTGAGATGCTGCTCCCACTCATCTGCGATAAAATGCGCTGTTAAGCTGAAATAAGATCCTGTGGATGTCCAAGCAGCACGTTACAGCCACCCTGCCTGTTTATAACTTCGGTTTTGGTCTCGTTGTAGAAAGGGGGTTACTGTGTCAGTAAAATATTTTTGAGACTGGACGCTGAATCTCGGCTCCAAAGTGTGCAGCACAGTGCGAAAGCCCTGGTTCTCAACGACTGAGAAATGGCGTGCAGACTGCAGGTCACATAGCAGCGAAGTCTCGCCTCGCTAGCAGCGAACGAAAAGGCAAAGAGAGAGAGGGGTAAGATCAAAAAAAGTTTAAAGTGAGTTTCTGACTCCAAGTTCCACATAATTCATTAATCATTGAAATAAATGTAAAAAATTAATATTTCTAGCATCACTTATACAATTTCAGCCATCAAAAAACTAAAAAAAAAAATAATTTTGTACTACTAAGGTAAGCCAGGGGGGCAACATGAAATAAATAAAATTGGCTAACATTGGCATGTTTCACCAGTTTTTACCAGCAGGGGGGAGCAGAATTTCATGGTGAGTTCAGACCCAACACACCTGACTCTCCTGGCTCTGTTATTCAGATGCCCCTGCAGGCCTTCATTACCTGTATCAGGTGTGATAGACTAAGATTAGAGCTAAACTCTGCAGGGTGATGGATCTCCAGGACCAGGACTGGGCACCCCAATACAATTATATGTTTCTTCTGAAATGAAGGGTATTAACAGGACGTTTTTCCCCTTTGCAACAGCAGCCTCTACTCTTTTGTAAAGGCTTTACACTAGATGTTGGAACATTGCTGTGAGAATATGACTGCATTCAGCATTCACAAGAGCATTAGTGAGGTCAGGTGCTGATGTTGAATGATTAGTTCTGGATCACTCCAACTCATCCCAAAGGTATTGGATGGAGCTCCATCACTCCAGAGAACAGAATTCCACTTTTCCACAGCTCAATGGTGGGGGATTTTATACCCCTCTAGCTGATGCTTGGCTTTGGGAATGGTGACCTTAGGCTCACGTGTTGCTGCTACAGAGTGTTCAATTCTAGTGACAATGCTTTTCTCTGGAGATTGTAGAAGCTTTGTGTGCATAATTGTAAATAGACCCCTTTGTCAGCAATGGGTGCACCTTAAATTAGCTGAATTCACTGAAGGGAGTGTATAACCTTTGGACACACTGTCTGTTTGTGTGTCTCTTCTGGTGATTTAAAGGTGAATGGGGGAATTTCTTCTCATATTCCAAAGATGTGGAACGTAAAGCTTTAGTTAACCTAATGAAAATAAAAATAGATTATTTTACAGCAGTGTAAACTGTCTGACTTATCGAGGAATAAACAAAAATCTTTACATTATAATCTACACTTATACTTACCTCAAGAATCCTTTGAGTTGGACGAGGAAGTGTGTTTAACAAAGAGACACGCTGGACATGGACATCTAGCTTAGCCTCCCGCAGTCTGTGATCAGGCCTCTTGATACTGCAGCCACTGGCTGACCCGCTAACTGTGAGGAAACACAGTAGCAGCAACATAAACAGGTATCCATGATCTAAACAGCAAGATGTGACCTAATCTGCTAGCAACAAGCAAACACGTTAACAGTGATCAGGGATGGGGGAGCAGCTAAGTAGCACTTTTTTGTGTAGCTATAGTGATAATTTTTGCTACAATGTCGCTACCGGTTTCAGGCAACCCACACAAAATCTGAACCATAGAACGCGGTCGTTTACTGGACTGGTGGCAATCATGCAATCCTGACTGAGCTGTGGACAGTTCGAGCAAACAGTCACACCCTGATCAACCCTTACTAGCAGGCTTAGCTCAGCGTCAGCAACCAAAAGAAGAGCTATTTTGTCCTTTCAATAAAAATGACAACACTTTGGGAGCCACAACATTGTATGTCCATTTTACCACCTTGGCTGTAAATATGTCTCAGTATGTGCTGATGTACGAGTTCAGGCTAAAAATATAAACACAAACTCAGACTTACTCTGCTCTGCTTAACCTTTAGCTCAGCTGTAGCTGCTTTTCTCGCATTTCAGTAAACTTCACAGGAAACTCAGGAAACCGCAGGTTTCTTGTAAAATGTCTCTCAATGTTCAACTTTTTACGAGGCTGAAGTCGCTTCTCATTCTCCTGCTTCTCATTCGAATTGTCCAGTTCCACCTTAAATGGTGCCTGAAGTGCCAGATTGTACTGATGCACCATTTAAGGTGGAAGAGGAGAATTCCAACGAGAAGCTGGAGAATGAGAAGTGACTTCAGTTTCACGAGTTGTTGCAGATTAAACGTATCAGTAAAACCGGCTGAGTGATTATAAATACAGATTAGTCCATTCATCTCCAAATTATTGATGTTCATCTTAAATCTCTCTCTTTACCTCTTCTCGTTGTCTACGTTGCTATGTGACCAGCAGTCTGTGCGTCAGTCTTCAGCGTTAAAAGGTGAATTAGCAGTTATGCATTAACTCCAGCGTTTAAGACCATCTATTGTGAAAACTGTGTTAGAACTGTGTGTTATAATGATTTACAGCAAAGGAGGATCATGATATTTTACTTAAAAATCTAGTTCTGGTGTTTGATTGTTGGTTACACTTAAACTTAGTTTTTGGTGATTTTTTCTGTATTTGCAGCTTTTAAATTGTATGTTTCTGTCTGACACATGATTAAATGCAGTGTCTTGTTCACACTGTCAGTTGGGATTGTTTGGTGTTTCAGGTGAAGACTCACAAACATTCTGACAGTCGCGCTTTAAAAGTAGCTAAAAAGTAGCCACTACATGTTAGTTAAATTGTAGCTGCTACTAATTTTGGGAAAGTAGCTACAAAGTAGCTAACTACTGATTTTTCAGTAGCTAAACCAACCCTGTCTGTGACCCACTAGTAGCGAGCTAAGCTGATAGCTTATGGCTAGCAGGTTGGGTACATGGCTAACTCAACAGTCATGAGCTAACCTGCTAACCGCTAGCTAATGAGCTGGCTGTAACACACCCCGCTAGTCATGAGCTAATATGTTAGCCACAAGCTAACACACTGACATTGCTGTCAGAACAAAACCTTTTTGGCCATTTTGGTCGTTTTTGATGGTTTGAAAATAATATCTCTTCACATTGTGTCAAAATGTCATGATAAACAGACAGAAATGGTCCAAAAATGACATAACAAAAAAAGAAAAGAAGACTCTGATGAATTACAGCACATAAGATGACTGAATTTCTCACAATTTTCACACAATTTTCTAAATTATGTGTCGTTTTACAGAGAGACCAAAAGCTACAGTGACAATACATCCAGCTAATCATGTGTTCATCGGAGAGACAGTCACTCTCACATGTGATATAGGAAGTGGAGGTCGCTGGAATTATCAGTGGTATAAAGAAAAGAACTTTCTCAGTGATACTCAAAGGAGGAATAAATACACTATTCCTAATGTTGATCAGACTCATAGAGGAGATTATACCTGTAATGGAGAACAGTCAACAGACCCGCTTTACTCACAGACCAGTGATCCTGTTAGACTGACTGTATCAGGTGAGTAACATCTCAGTCACAATTTGTTACCACTCTGAAATACTGATTTATTCAGAAGACGGTAAGTTAATCTGATCTTGTGTATAACTCTCAGTATTTTACACACCAAACACAGTTTTTTAGACGGCGAAAATGCGACATTATTTTATTCACTTTTGCAAACTTTCACTGGCGACAAAACCACACTGACCAAACACGGCTGCCTCTGTTTTTGAATGACCTTGTTCTTTTTCAGCTAAAAGGACGTTTTCCCATAAAAAACTGTTAGACTATAGTGAGACCTGACAGAGCAGTAAAGCTCAGAAACATATTTAAATCATCCTGAATTACAGTATAAACAAAGATGCCAGATAAGAACCAAGACAAGCAGCAGGTCAGACCATCACTGACAGTTGTTTGACTGAAAAAATCGTGAACACATTGAAATTCACTCATTAACCCGGTATAGTTTCACAGGAAAAAAGAGCAGTGCAGCAGTGATGCTCTAAAGCAGTGGTCACCAACCCTGGTCCTGTCCAGTCTAGTTCTGACCACAGTCTGACACACCTGCTCCAGCTAGAAGAAACAGCTGTGTCCTGGAGAAGTGCATTTTAAT